CTTTTTTTCTTTTTACAGCTGTGAAGTAGAGTGCTTTTCAACAGGGAAAAATACATTGAAGTCATGTGGTTTGTGCATCTTTGCCCCAGAGAAACAATTTCTATTTTAACTAGGAAGTAAAAGTCTTTGCTCAGAGGGTTTTTATTTAACTCTCCATGTTTTCCCAGTGTGATTCATATTTTGAAAACAAATTACAGTAAAATTCAGAACTTTCTTAAAATCAGTCTAGCTAATACCTCGAGGTCAGTGGTCCCCAACCTTTTGTGGCTGCTGGGCTTCCGGGGGAAGAGCAGCTCACGCATATTTTAACTAGGAAGTAAAAGTCTTTGCTCAGAGGGTTTTTATTTAACTCTCCATGTTTTCCCAGTGTGATTCATATTTTGAAAACAAATTACAGTAAAATTCAGAACTTTCTTAAAATCAGTCTAGCTAATACCTCGAGGTCAGTGGTCCCCAACCTTTTGTGGCTGCTGGGCTTCCGGGGGAAGAGCAGCTCACGCACCGGGCTTCCAGGGGAGGGGCCACTCACGTGCCCTAAGCCCGGGGCCGGTACTGCGCATGTGCTGCACGCCTGGGGCAGGGGCCGCCCACGTGCCCTGGGCCGGCACCACGCATGTGCTACGCGCCAGGGAGGGGCCAGCCCAGATGTTTCGGTGGGTGCACATAAATGTCCCAGCGGGCGCCATGGCACCCGTGGGCACCGCATTGGGGACCACTGCTCTAGGTGCCTGTAACTGTTGTCAAATCAAGAATGAAATATTAGGTTAAAGGAGTGTGAGCTGGTAAAGTGCTTTTATGACAATCTTATAGACAGAATCTGTATTCCACCTAACATTGAGGTTCTGCGCTGCATAAATTTTTTTAATGGGGAAAACCAAAATGAACAGAAGCAAATGGCATTCTTCACTAATCGCATACTGAATGAGTGCCCCCAAACAGAATGGGAGGAACACTGTCTTGTACTAATTCATAAGAAAATAGTTCCTGCCTGGAAGGGCATAGCACCTAAAGGCTAAATTATTGGTGGAGAGGGGAAATTTCAGGCTATATCATCATAGTTTATATGCTTTTTTTACTTTGTGTTTGAATGAGGGAGAATGGATGGGGAAAATAGATCAACCACACTCTAGAGCAGTGTTTCCCAATTGATTCTCTGTAGAACCCTGGGATTCCGCGAAGCGAAAGCAAGGGTTCTGCGAAGAGCCAGCACTCCAGTGCCCCCTCTTAAAGAGATTCAACACTTTGGTCATCTGAAGAAGTGGGCTGTGCCCACGAAAGCTCATGATTCCATCTACATGTTTTGTTAGTCTGTACAGGATGAACTTAAAAAACAACAAATAGTCTGGTAGCACTTTAAAGACTAACTCGACTACCCCCCTGAAACTTTCTAGAGCAGTGTTTCCCAATTTTATTTGGCCACGGAACCACTAGGGCTGCCTTAAAAAACAAAACCAAAATACCCCGCCGTGGTTCTGTCTTTTTGAGAAGAGGTGGGAGAGTGCTGTCTCTTTGCAGAACCCTTGCTTTCACTTCATGGAACCACAGGGTTCCACAGAGCAGCAATTGGGAAACATTGGTTTAGGGTGATGCTTACCTGTTAACCTTTCACGTCCCTATTACCAATGAGATCCTTTCCATTCTACAATCCTCATCTTTTGCCATTCTTGTCCATCTTTAAAAACTCTTTTGAGAAACGGGCCTTATGTTCTTTTTATTCTCACTTTTCATAAAGCTCCTAAAAAGAACCAGAAAAATGAGCTCTTGCATTGGCTCTTTTATTTCAATACTTGTGTTATTCATCCACTGTACCAACCACCTAATGATTGGTGGCATAATAGGTAATCTTTTGTACAACATCACTGAATTAGTAGTTTCCTTGCTTGGATTGTTCAGTTGCTTTGAGCCACATAATATATTGTTATATTTTTGTTAACACATCTGTAACTTCGCTTTCCAAGGCAGAAGATAATTGAGAAGAGTAGCCTTCATTCTTTGTAGATTTATATAAAATGTTGTAGTGTATGAAGTATGGTATTTCCTTTAAGGAGATCTTAAGATCAAGAATATGTACAGCATTTTGATCATAAGAATTTTAGATATTAAGATTATTTTGGTAGAGGCAGGGAAAAATCTAATAGTTGAAAAGACTGACTAATCTTGGTGGACAAGAGAATTTTATAGCTGGGGAATAATCTGATTTCAAAATTATACAAATTCTTGGTCAGGATTTAATTGCATGTATATATCACATTTGATTTAAGTCCAGTGCTTGTGAAATGCATAGGAAATTGAACACATAATGCCTGGGTCCTGAAGTTTATCTTGGATAGTATCAAGTGCAGGTTTCTTTCACTACTTTCATTTATTTTAGGGCAGGGGTCAGCAACCTTTTCAAACCAAAGAGCCAAACTACATCATAATTCAGAACCAGAATGCCCATTTACATGACTGAAAATATACATTATTATTAAGTGACAAAATTATTAAAAATAGCATAAATGAAACTGTGTACTCACAGACTTTATTAATGGGACGTCTGCTGCTGCATCTTTTTGCACTTTTCTTTGAAGTTTACATCATAACTGGTCAAATCCAGCTTCATGCATGCATTCAGGCGGTCTTCTGTCAGTGTTATGGTAGGGCCCTGGGAATGTGGGAGGTACAGGAGTCAGCGTTGTTGGTGTATGAGGGGCTCAGGGCATGGGTTTGGGGTGTGTGGGAGGTGCAGGAGGTAGAGCAGGGTGCCACAAGTGGGAAATGGAGTATGTGGGGAGACCCCTGAGACCCGATAACCTTACTTGGCCAGGGTTGGACTGCTGCACCCGTACAGCAGAGGCTGGACAAGGGACTGGGCCAGAATCACCACCGCTGGATCATGGCCTCCTTTCCTACCTGGGCCAGAGAAGAAGGGGTGGGCCCTCCATTGCCTGCCCTTCCTGCAGCCAGATGAGGGCTGGACCACACAATCCACCTCATGGTTGAAGCTGGTCAAGCTACTGCAGGAAAAGTCACACTGCAGCCTTGGCCCTAGGTCTGGGAGCAGTGAGGCAGCCTCACGTGGCCCACCCTGGCCACAGCTCCAGGCCTGGGGAAGAGCTGAAGGTGGAACCAGGGCTGCATGGTAATTGGCTGGCTGGCTGCTCCTGAGGCAGGGGGGTGTAGAGGAGCCAGGGCTGTGCTGCAGTTGCTCCTGGGGCTGCATTCTGACCCTGGCCCCAGGAAAAGCCACGCAGCAGCCCAGCTCCGGCACCTGAGGCAGCCAAATATGCCAAAAGGGCCATATTTGGTGCCCTACTGAGCCATATTTTGCTTCTGAAGCATATGTTGCTTATACCTGTTCTAGTGACTACCAGAGCTGTTGAAAACCTAGTTCAGTCTTCATTTGAGTAATTTGCCTTCTAAGTTTTGAAATGCAAGAAACTAGATGAATGTACTTATAAGCTATTCCTGTCATCTAAAAAGTTGTCTTTTCTGTTTACCTGCAGATTGTGACTGTTTCTCTTGTGGCATCTGTGTGGAAAGTGCCACACACGCTCCAGAACAACAACGGCTTTTGCTTGCATTTTCCAGTGTTTTCTTTGTCAGCAAGTTCAGCAACATTGTAATTCAAGTGCCAGCCCTGAGCTGAGTGAGGAGCCACCGGCTGAGATGGTAAAAATGACAAAATCAAAAACATTCCAAGCTTACCTTCCAAACTGCCACCGAACCTACAGCTGTATCCACTGCAGAGCCCACCTAGCCAATCATGATGAATTGATTTCCAAGGCAAGTGATTTATTTAGAGACATCATATGGGTTTTTTTAACCAAAATTATTGCCACTGGGTCAGCACTTCAAATAAATGATATAAATCTGATGCGTACTTCAAAGTATCTTCTCAACAGCTCTGTTTGTGGGGCATAAAAGCAGTGTATTGAGGAATGGATGTTTTCTGGAATCTTTATGTAAAGCTGTACCTTGGCAAAAAAACCCCACCCCACCTCACCCTAATAACAGGTAGGTGCTACTTTTTGAGATATGACTGATCTTTACTAGAGATATCAAAATGCATTTAAACATGTAACCATTGAAAACTTCAGCAATTACACTTGGGCTGCAGTTAGCTCCCCATGAGCTAGTGTGCATGGGAAGCTGGCTTCCCTGTGTGTACTGGGAGCCTGCCTGTAACTGTGAAGGTTAACCAATGAACTCAGGCTCATCAGTTGACCATGTACCTTGGTTCACTTTCACATCTCTAGCCTTTACCAATCAAGACTAGATGTGATAAGTTTGCTTAGAAAGGAAACTGTCTGATGGAAATATAGGGCTCAGGATTAGGAAATTATTCTTAATTAAATATATTCAAAAGATTGCTCTAGTGTAGAGAGGTCATCAAATTAGCTGGTATTACACAATTCAGTGGATCAACATGGAATCCATCACTACATTTTCTAAGCCTTTCCTTCTTCCTCATACTAGATGTGATAAGTTTGCTTAGAAAGGAAACTGTCTGATGGAAATATAGGGCTCAGGATTAGGAAATTATTCTTAATTAAATATATTCAAAAGATTGCTCTAGTGTAGAGAGGTCATCAAATTAGCTGGTATTACACAATTCAGTGGATCAACATGGAATCCATCACTACATTTTCTAAGCCTTTCCTTCTTCCTCATTAGTACTGTGATCACCAACAGGTCGATCGCGATCAACTGGTTGATCGCGAGGCCTCAACCAGTCGATTTC